CAGAAAATATTTTTTTATTATTTTAAATTGTACAGTTTCTCTGGTATTTTAATTTATTTCACTTATGTATACGGGACGAATCTAAAATTTTTAACTTTTCTTATAAAATTTAACACTTGAATGGTTTAAATTGTGTACGGAAATAATGTAACTCATCTGGAGTCATATGTTGCTAAAACTGTAAAACCAAAGCATCCAAGGGAAACAAATCTCACCACAATTCTCTATATTCACAACCGACCGCTAGAAAGGGAAGCTTCCGGTGAGTCACTTACCCTGTAACCTTAATAATATTAACAAAATTAATTTTGTTTCAAAAATTAAAACCCTAACTAAATAAATTTTTTCATTATTTTTTTCTTAAAATTTTAACTATAAATATAATTTCTGTAAAAATAATTTTTTCTTAAAATTCTCAAACAAACATTTATTAGATTTTATACTTTCTTTATTCCAGATTAATCGTAGAATTTTTTTTTATTTTATCTTTAAATTAAAGATTTAAGGGTAATTTTTATTCTTATAAAAAAAAGGGTAATTTTTATTTTTATTTTTTATTATTAAAAAAATAAAAAGAGAATTTTTTATGATAAGGTGAATAATTTACGTCAAAAGATAACTATAAGGTCAAATATAAAAAAATATTTATTTTCTTCAAAATATAAAAAGATACTATTATTTTGGGATAAATTTTAAATCAAAAAATAATAATAGTTCAACTCCAACATATATATAAAATATTGCAATCAAACTTTAATAAAATTTAATTTCTTACTAATTTTATTATAAGATTTGACCAGACTTTTACTTAGTATCTTATCATTTTTATTATAAGATTTTTGTTTTTTTTTTTCAAATTTTCAATTTTTTGGACTAAATTATTTTAATTCATATAAATCAAAAAATAATTTTTATTAATATTTAAATTAATTAAAATTAATTATTTATTATAAATTAAAAATTTTAAATAATATATTGTAAAAAAAAATTGTATATAACATTCCTAAATAAAACCATAAT